CTGAAACCCAGTTCTCTCTTCTATGGTTGCAAGAAAATCTTTTTTCACTACTGTGATCTCAGAAAATCTTTCAAGAAAGAAATGGCATATCCTTCACTTGTGAGGAATCAAAAGCACTGCAATTATCTGCTACTCGGCTGTAACAATGACATGATGTGGAATTGTTTTAGTTCTCTTGCTCTTAGACAAGCTCTTTGCTTAGTTAGATCACGGAAGTGCCTTTATTCCCTCTCCATGCCTATCCTGAAAGCTATGCAAAGGAAGAAATGACAATAATTAAGAGTGCTATGCAATTAAACACAGAGTTAAGTTTTGTCCCCTAATTATAAAACCCACACTCTCTTCCTGACATGACAAATCTGTCAAATGGATGTGCTTCATGTAAAGATGTGACAGAATTCAGACACGGCTGCCTAATTTCCCTATAATGAGGCAGTGGATGCTTTGCATCCTGCTGACAAATATTTTTCTCTACCCCCCCCACCCCACCTTATATATGCACCCACCCTACTGCAGTTATTGCAACAATAGAGCTGCTGAATAGGGAAGCATCTCTGTTTCTTAGTACAAAATAATGTTCTTACCTTCCACAGGGTTAGAAGTCTATCTTCCCAAAGTGAAAACTAATCAAGATTCCTTGTTACTTCATTTCAGCATCTCCCTTCTGTAGCAGCAATGAGCAACACAGATCTCCACCATTTTTCTGATCACATGACCAGTGGTGCTTCTAAATAAGGACAAGCACCTGCCTTTGGATACCCTGCTGTATATGCCAGAAGCCACAGCAGCTCTAAGAGTCACTGGAGTTTAGCTGCCAATTTTGATTATCTGTTTCTCCCGGCTTCTCTCCCTCTCCCTGTCTCTCTGCAAACGCACACACACACTCACACACACCCCCCCCTTGTAAGTGCATCCTTTTCCCCTTCTCCAACTGTTCCTTCCTTTTAAACATAGAGGAAAGTGAAAGGAAGATAAAATAAGTAAACTTTGAGTTGACACAGCACACGAAAAGCCCCAAACCATTTTTACTCAAGCTGTTTATGAAATAAATATTTGGACATGCTTTCCATTATTATTTTTCAACTAAAATATTATAAAGTCATATCGTGATTTCCTGACTTGGCAACAAACTACGTATACTCAGTCCCTGTCTTTGTAGTTGCAGAATGGAAGGTAGCAGAATCTTAATTCTGTTGAAACCCCTGAAATCTGCACAAATTCTCTCAGATGGGTTTGGATAAAAATGGGGGGAAATTATCAAGATTCTATATAATACTAGCCCAAGTTACAGTATTTGCTTATTTGCAGAAATAAGCAAATGTACCAAATACAGTATTCAGAAACCTTTTTTTTCTTCTTTGAGAATTGAACTCATTTTATGAAAGTTATATCCTAAGCTCTTCTGCTTTTTTGAGCCAGTATAAATATGTGATACATACAAATATGAACTGAAACTAACAACTAACTGCTGGATAGTTCAGTGGTTTAGGCAGAGGTTGGGAGTTCAATTCCCCACTGTGCCTCCTTGAGGGGGTCTTGATTTGTGATCCATAGGATCCCTTCTTGCTCTGCAGTTTTACGATGATGATGATTGAAAATTATGAATATTTGAAGAGCTGTTCCAAAGCATAAAAGATAACATGGATAAATAGGTGATCACTCCTATACCATGTTACATTTCATTCTTTACCCAGGAGTACAAGTTAACTTTCATCCATGTACCAGGCTTCTGGTAATCCGGTGTGGTGTAGTTTATAGAGTAATGTACTAGGACTCGGGGATCTGGGATTGATACTTCTGTTCTGCTATGGAACTCATTAAATACATTATTGACCTTGAAAATCTTAATAGGGTTGCTATAAGTCAGTTCTGACCATTCCTTCATTGGGAATTATCTGCACTCCTTCAATTGCAACTAAAAGTACATCATTGGAATCTGGCCAAACCAAGGGGAATTCCATGGGACTCTCAGAGCCTTTGGGGATTCAGAGGGATTGCAAATCTTTTATTTTAAAAAAATCACTATGGTTGATGATGTCACCATACATGACATAACTAACGGAAAAGGGGTTCTACCAGTGTATCACAATCATTTGTAAGGGTCCATTAGCACAGGTGGACAACAGTCTCTGTATATTGAGTAGCTGTGGACAGTAAGCATCAAAATAAGCCTATAATTCATACATAATTCTCTGAAGTATGTACCTTGAGCTAGTAGGCTGAGATTTACAAATGGTAAGGTTACTAAAGAATGACAGGCAAGAAAAAATGTGGTGTTGCATGCTAAAGTGTTCTACAGTACAGATAATTAAGTTGTTATAACAATGTTTCATGCTCAAGTGATAATATAACCATCCAGGCAGGTCTGGCCAACTACTTGGGGACAAGGGGCATTTTTTTTTTTGAGATTTCACTCCCATGGGGACATGGCCAAAGAAAAAAAAGGAATGGCCAAAATAGTTAATTAGCTAAGTTGCAGAATAAAAAATGGTATTTCAGCCATGTACCATATTTTTTGCTCTATAAGATGCACTTCCCCCACAAAAAAAGTGGGGGAAAATGTTTGCATCTTATGGAGCAAATATTGTAATACAGCGCTCCCCAGGACCCTTCAGAGGCTACACACACCCACCCACCCCGCGTGGCCAGCAGGGGTGAAATTGTGACCTTCCAGGACTCTTCTGAGGCTTGGAAAACCTCAGAAGGTCCCTGGAAGCTGGCGATTTCGCCCCCGCTGGCCTCACGGGGGGGGCAGGGGGAGCCTCCAAAGGGTCCAAGAGTGTTGGAGGGAGCCTCAGAAGGGACTGGAAGCTGGCAATTTCACCCCTGCTGGCCCCGCGTGGTCCAAAGGGTTCAAGAGTGCCTCCCAGGACCCTTCGGAGGTTCCCTCCAACCCCCGCGGGGCCAGCGGGGGTGAAATCGTGACCTTCCAGGACCCTTCTGAGGCTTGGAAAGCTGGCAATTTCGCCCCTGCTGGCATCATGGGGGAGCAGGGCGAGCCTTGGAAGGGTTCGAGAGTGCCTTCCAAGACCTTTTGGAGGCTCTCCCCACCCCCTGTGAGGGGAAATGTCTGCATCTTATGGAGCGAATACTGTAATACAGTGCTCCCCAGGGCCTGATGGAGGGTGGTGGTGGGAACCTCAGAAGGGTCCAAGAGTGCCTTCCAGGATGCTTCAGAGGCTACCCCCACCCACCCCAGCATGGCCAGCGGGGGTGAAATTCTGACCTTCCTGGGCCCTTCTAAGGCTTGGAAAACCTCAGAAGGGTCCTGGAAGCTGGCGATTTCACACCTCCTGGCCTCATGGGTGGGCAGGGGGAGCCTCCAAAGCGTCCAAGAGTGCCTTCCAGGATCCTTCGGAGGCTCCCCCCACATCCCACAGGTCCAGCGGGGGCGAAATCACAACCTTCCAGGACCCTTCTGAGGCTTGGAAAGGGGGTGGAGGGAGCCTCCAAAGGGTCCTGGAAGGTACTTTCGGACCCTTCCACGGCTCCCCCCACCTCTGCTCCCATGGGCCTAGCGGGCCGAAATTGCCAGAATATTTTTTTCCTGTTTTCCTCCCCTAAAAATGAGGTGCGTCTTATGGAGCGAAAAATACAGTAAGTGTTGTTTTCAAACAAAAGACAGATTCTGCTCTGGATCTTTATTCTATATATTAGTTCAGTAAAATCCCAATCACAGTAAGATGACCATGCCCAATATTTCCTATACACAGCATGATATACACTGAGTTAGTTAAGAAAGAAATGCTGATTGCTGGAGCAGAACATCAAGTAAATGCATGCTGCTTTGCAATTTGACACCAAAACACCTGGGAAACATGTTTTCTAGGCAAAAAATTACCAACTGTGGAAGCCCACTACTGTATATGAAAAGTTGGGGATTTTTTTCCCCTGTAATAGTCATAATTGCTTTACACCTTCATGCACTGAATCCCATTTGGTATTTTTTCTTGGACAGATCCCTTCCAATCTCTCTGCAACCCACTGTTGTTCTAACCACCCTAAATAATTGGATACTGTCAGCAACTGGGATAGCTTATTATTCATCCCTAAGTCCACATTATTTGCAAAGCATTAAAATCACTGGTCCAACATACAGCTCTGTGGAACCCCACTATTCACATTCCTCCACAGTGAAGACTAACCATTTAGTTCAACTCTTTGCTTCCTGTTTAGTAACCATTTCCCAGCACATGAGAGGAGTTCTCATCTCAGAACTAGAATAAATTTGCTTCGGAGTCCTTGCTGAGGGACTCTGTCAGAAACCTTTGGAAGTCCAAATAAGCAACATCTACTGAATTGCTCTCATTGATGTGTTTAATTATTCTTTCAAGGAGTTTCATTTTGAGCTTGAAAGAGCAGTTGCAGGATCCCTTTTGTAACTATATTAGTTAATAATTTATTTGACAAATACTGAATTATGGCATCTATACTGTGGATTAGAGGTTAGTTTTCTTCGTGGAAAGCCTGTCTGCTTGCATATGTAGTCTTCCATTCATGTTTCAGCCCTCTGTACACATGAAACATTGCTCTTGAGGGTTAGATGACCCTCCAGACCAGAGTAAGACATGACATAGAGGGTTGTAACAGGTTGAAAGGGGGTAGAACAAGGAAGAACCAGGTGACTTGCAAAAGCAGGTGTCCTTTCCACTACAGCAAATCTGCTTAACAAAAATAGTATTTGGTTTGAGGAGCTTCAATGACTTCTTGGCTTATATCCATAAATCATCATCATAACCATCAAGTCAATTCTGACTTTTAGTGACCCTTCCAGGTGTAGAATACTCAGTAGTGATCTACCATTCCCTTCTTCTGAGGGCAGCTCTGGGACTGTGCAGCTTGCCCATGGCTACAAAGGCTAGCTCTATTTGTAAGAGGCATAGTGGGGAATCACTCTCAACAACTGGCTCCTCAACCAGGTACCTAAATCACTGAACCTTCCAAACTTCGATATCCACAAATAAGGAAGTCAGAAATGATATATATAGGCCTTTCCTTACCCTGTTATAAGACTGTGTTCTCTGTTACCGCCAACAAACTGAACCTCCTCTTCCACTTCTTGTTCCATTGTCATACCATCGCTAGGATGCTGTTGTGAATGGACATTTAACTCACCATTACCATCAGCAACTTGAAATAAAAGAGCATCTGGCTCATTATTGTGTGAAATCTTGTCCTCCTCTTCCAATGCTTTATGAGGACTTCTCTCTACTAGAGTTTCAGTTTGGGTCCCAGAGATCAGTTCCTGGTTTAAAATGTCCTCTAATTTTTTAACAGGATTTCTAGACAATGATTCTATTGTGTCTATTCTCCTACATTTTTCTTCAGGTGATATATCATCCACTCCATTTTGTCCTACCATAGTCCATTCCTGATCTTGTAGAGGGCTTCTGAGTGATTTCTTTTCATCTCTTAGTTTTTGAGCTACAACAGAACTTTTATCTGCTAAATAAAAAGAATCCCATTCAGTTGACTGCCCCTCATTTTCATTTATTATGGAGATTGACTGAAATGTATCCGAAGAGTCTGCTGAAAAGATTTCAAGAGAATCCGTTTGTTCTGCCACTGTGAAAGCTTCCTGTGCAGTGAAATTGCCTTCTTGTATTACCAAGGTATCCTTCCTCAAAGATCCATTTGCTTCACCAGCAATGAGGACATAATCCATCTCTAGAAAAGAGTGATCTTCATCTCCCTTTAATGTGCCATATTCCTTGTTCTTTCCTTGTGTTATACTTGTCCAATTTGCAGATTTGTACCCTTTGCTATCATTATTAAGTGTTTCAGAGGCAGCTTCTGAAATTAAGGAGAACAATTTCAGTTTGAGCAACACCACATTCATTTTTAAACCAACTGTATGTTTCTTTTCTTTAAAAATACTGTTCTGTTTTTTGTTAAGATTGAGTTAATAAATCAGTATCTCACATAAATAAATTAGATAATTTATGATAGGAAGGTAAAGGTCTGATTGACTGACTCAATGATATTTACACAAGTATTGTCCCACTGTTTAGCAGTTAATTCAATTGGTCTATTCTTATTGGAACTAGCAGTAAGACACTGGCCACAAACTTTGATTTCTATACTGTAATACAGGCAGCTCGGAATAAAAATTCATTTTTCTTTTGCCAATACAGAACAGTAACAGTTGGTATTGCCTGTTTTAGACATGATTACATTAGAAATATTCAAACAAAGTGAATCTGTGAAATACATGTCTAACAACATCCTGTAAATAAGTATCATGCCTTAAATCCTACATCAACATTTCTATTTAGCCAGCAGACTTGTTTTATTAATATATGCACAATTACTTACCATCGCCCATGCTTATGACTCCACCTGCTGGTGAATCAATATGAATTGACTCTGCTTCATACTCGAGTTTTTTTGAAGAGTCAGTTGACTTAGGAGTCACATCAGATTCTAATAATAAAGATCCCCAGTCTTGGTCTTCTTGAGAACATTCTGCAGACTTGCCACAGGCATCACTAGGTTTGTCTTCAGAAATATTTTGTTCACAAGTAGTAGAATAAATGTGACTTGAACCTGTTACATGCTCAGATCCTTCCAAAACATATGAAGATTCAGATGTCACATGAGATTCTAACAAAAGTGATCCCCAGCCTTGATCTTCTTGCATGCATCTTGTATCCTTACCTTTGATGTCAACAGCTTTAGACTCTAAAATATTAATTCCACTATCTTGAGTCGGTGAGTCATTAATACTTGATTCTGTATCATACTCAAATCTTTTCAAAGTACATGAAGATCCAGGAGTCCCATCAGATTCTATTAACAGGGTTCCCCATCCTTGATCTACTTCAGAATGTTCTTCAGCTTCACCTTTTATATCAACAGTGTTAGATCCTAAAATATTCGTGTCATCTTTCTGAGAAGAGTCTTCTGTACCAACTGATATATCAGATGAAGAGATACATGCAAGTGGCAACTGTATGTTGGGTGATGCTGTTAACCATGAGCTATGAGTCTTCTGAAGATGTTCATGGTCTTGTATAATATCAGTACCATACTTACTTAATGTATTGGACAGTAAATTATCATCCTGTTCTTCCAGGGAGGTCTGTAATGAGTGTTTCTTTATGAGTATTGTACACATGTCTATTTCTTCCTCTGATTTATTGACTAACATTGTCAGAGGATTAATTTCATTCACTATGGAAGTTGGGTTATTAGCAACTTTTATCTTGATGATGCTGTCCTGTATTTCAGTTTCACCATTAATAGGTATACTTCTTGCTTCCAATTCATCAGCATAGTCTGTTACATGGTGACCAACTGGAAGGTGATCACTGTCAGCAAACTTGCTGTGCTCAGAACCATCTATGAGCAAAATGGAAGCATTTGGAGGATCCACAGACTCACCTAAAGATGCTAAGTCTTCTTGGTCTTCAAAGCTTTCTTTTTCAAATGTGTTATTTTCCAGATTTAGGGGTACGACGTCCAAGCCTCTAGTACAGGTATTTGACAAATCATCTTGTTTATTGACTGTTTCATTTGCTACATCAGATTCCTGCAAAATATTTTCTCTAATTTCAACTTGTACTTCAATTTTAGGAGGTATTAGTTGGTTGGGCTCCTCAGTGTTTGTCTCATACTTCCATGGAAGATGGAGACAATGTCTTTCAGGATATATCTCATTTCTGTCAATTGGCAGCTGCTGATTAAAATCAAAATCTCTGTCTTTGTATGTATCTGACAGCTTGGGAGACATCTGAGTAACTTCTTCAGGCTGCACTAGAACAGAAGACTGTGCACATGTTTGCTTGCTTTCATATTCATGGCAAACGTCCGGACTGCTTGAGGCCTCTGAACTGCTGTCTTGATCACAGTGACTTAATATATCAGGATTTTCTATGTTTGTTCTGAAATTTAAAGGCTCTTCAACATCAGTCCACAAATCTGGATCAACAGTAAATCCCTGATAGTATCCAATGTTGTTATTTTGTAATATATCTGGAACAAATGAGTTTTCTTGTGCAACTCTGTTTTCATCACATATTGAATTGGATATCCTTCCTGCTTTCAAAGGAAGAAGACTATCAGATGGAGATCTTTCACTAGTATCTAATTCTTTATGATCAAGTGGATTAACTATGTTTATCTCATTTGGGCTGCTGGGAGTTGTATCATTTGTATTTTCTGTATCATCTCTTAAGAAACCAAGCTTTGAATCTGCCTGGGTAAGTGCATTCAAAAGGCTTGATTGCCACTCTTCTGGAACCAACTGCATAAGAGTGTTCTGATCTCTAACAGCAGCAACTAAAGCTTCTTGGTTTATGTCCCTTTCATTCTTACATGGTGGTGACAGTGGATCACACTCTTCACAGTTTATGACACCTTGAACTAAACCTTTTTTTGGTTCAGCCAATGAGTGATCTTCTTTTTCACCTTCACCTTCACTATCATATTGAGTAAACTCATTTTCATGTCCATGAGCCTCAGTGAGATTTGAATCTTCAAAATTTTCACTTCTTTCATTGTGTGCTTCACATGCATCATGATCTTGGATTGCTATATCGTTAATTTTTAAATCATTACTCAGATAAAAGTGTTGAGCTTCCACTGATCTATCACCATTTTTTTGTAAATTCCACCATTCTGAAGAATCATCTGGGAATCCAAGATCTTCCACTGTGGACTTTTCATGTTTATCAAATGTACTTTCAGAATTACTTTGCAGTACTGCATCCCATGCATCTGAATTATTTATTGTGGAAATATGGGCAGTATGACCATGTACTTCATCTTGAATTGTTCCCCAGTGCACTAAATATTCAGAAGTTTCATGGCTATAACGCTCCCCTGAAATATTAGTACCATTAGCATCTTCAGAACATTCCTTTAACGAAACTACATGGACATTTTTCTTCAAATTGTGTTCATCATTTGTGACATTTGTTTCATGGATCTGCAAAGATTTTAGCTTTCTTACATCCTCCCATTTTTCAGGGCATGAATCTAACGCTGTTTCTGCCTGAGGTACATTTGAGTATTCTGAGTCTTCATCTATTCCAGAACTTGATAAAGAAGATACAGTATCATCATCCACAGGAGCATTCCAAAGATCTAAATTTTTGGGGACTTTGTGTTCAGTACTTGTTTCAGAATCGTCTTGGATTTTATTCTCAAGTAATTCATTCTTAAAATCTTCTACTTGTCCATCATTTGTGGTGTTCCAAGCATCTACATTTTCTTTTTGACTATTAGCAATTTGCAAGTTATCCCATGTATGCATACTTGTAGAATAACTTATATCAGGACTTGTTGCACTTGAGTTTGTGTAATCATGAATGGAATCACTATAGGTGTTGTCTTCTTTAGAGATGTTTCTGACTGGATTATCTGCTAGGAAGCTGTATACCGCATCTGATGCTTCAAGCATTTCATTTATTTTAGTACTTCTTCCAAGAAACTGTGCACGTTCATTCAGTGACACATTCCAACCATCTAGAATTTGAGACAATTCATGATGAGGTACAATATCAATACATTTTTCATTTGAAAGTTTATTCTCAGATTCTGAACTTCCATTTTTCTCAGATGAATCCATTTCAAATGCCTCTGAATTGTTTGTTGTACGCATTTCTGTTGCACCCAGAAATTCAGTAAATTCTACATATGGATTATGGGGATTTGTAACTAATTTTTGTTGATCTGTACCTTCCAAAGACATTTCACGACTGCCAAATATTTCTGATATGCTTTCAGGATTTTCTAGTTCGATTTTACATGTGTTTAAGTTAGATGTAATCTCTTTAGATAAATGCTCCTGCTGTTCTGCTGGCACTTGAGTTGGTAGCGGTGCTGGTACTTCATTATGCAGCAAAGCATCTAATGGCTCCAATTTATTCCATACACCTTCATTTTTAGCCAGTACTGGAGAACACTTTTCTTGATTGTTGTCTCCTCCGGAAGAACTTGAAGAAGGACTTTCCACTTCAGAGGTCTTTTGCATTGACTGGTCCGTATCAAAGTATTTTGAAACGGATTCAGATGCTTCATTTAAACTGTACTTTGGAAGATCAGCTGGATCAAAGTGTACCAAAAGTTTCTTATCTTCTGCACTATCTAGATATCCTTTTTTCTTGTCTTCAGTGATAGGATGAGTCCCATTGTAAAAGAGTGTGTTTATTTCTGATGGTTCTACTCCTATTTCTTTTAAGCTTCCATTTGTTCTTACTCCTTCTAACAAAATGGGATAATCAGAAATTATCTTGTTTTTCTCAGAATTACTAACATATGAGAAAGGAAGCAAAGGTATGTTGTCATTTTGCACAGCCTCATTCTTAACATTGTTAAGGGTGACCTGCCCATTTTTCTCATCAGTACTTTGCATTGAAGCAGAAAATATGTCACTGTGCTTCAGTACAGTTTGTGGATTATGCTGAAGCTGCCTATTCCATTGTTTCTCTAGAAGTTCAGTGCCCTGCACTGTCTGTTCATTTCCACTGACTTGTTCATTAACTGAAACAGTGCTCTTCACGTCACTGGCATCCAAATGGGGAAACTTCTGGACCTCAAGAATAACACCATTATTCATTTCAGCATTTCCGTCTTCTGTATGTATGACACTATTTGGAGATGAGTGACTAATTCTCTGAGCAGAAACAGGAGTTAATCCAAAGTCTTCAGAACTTGAATGACTACTTCCATCAACACAGTAGTCCTCTGAAAAATATGTGCCATTTTTTCCCGATGAGTCAAGTAAAACAGTGTTTGTTAAATTATTCACTTCAGAGCCTGTAGCTTCCATTTGGTTCTCATTTTTAGGGGATGTGTTTTCGTAACTGGAATCTGGTGAACATACAGGAGATGATTGCGGTAATGGTTTCTCATCTGCTAAATCATATGTTTCAGCATCAGGTGAGCATGAATTTACCATTTGGTCCAAAACAGGTTCTTTGTTAGGACTGCTTTCACTTTCTCTTTCATCTCCAATCCCTGATGGTGATATATATGAATCAGAAGTTGAGTAATTTGTATCTGGTGGAGAAACTACTAAATCGTCACATGCATTTGATGTGATAAAGTCTGGATCTCTGTATGACAAGAAGGGATCTTCCCAAGAGACAAGGTTTCCAAGCACTTCTTTTCTGATGGTTGAGTCATATACATCCCATTCATTTGTATTGTCAAACTCTCTGGATTTAAATACAATGTTGTTTTGATGTTCCAAAGCCAGTTTAACGTTCTGCTGTATACTACCTATATCCGTTTGTCCATTTTTAAATGATTTGTGGTTTTCTACTGAACTACATTGGGCATTGTTTCCAGACACTACTTGATTGTTTAGATTTTCACATTCATTAACTTTAGAGACTTCAGGCAGGCATTGAGACATAGCCCATGTGTTAACATCTGTCTGTGAAATTTCATCAAAATCCATGTGGGGAACATTCCATGTGCCCTCTGGATGCCCAGAGCCATCATGATCAAATACTGACCAGGTATTTTGTGAATTTGTCTTGCTCTGTGCATTGTCAGTATTATCCCATGGACCAGATATTGCAGGCACTGGTTGACTCAAGGCCCACATGTCAGTAAAGTTTTCCACTTGTTCACCATCTTTTTGTTGGTTTCCCACAGCATGTTCATTATGGGCAGTATTAAATTGGTTTTCCCAAATACCTGTTCTCAAATTTTTGGTATGCTTTTGCTGTTTTTGTACACATACTGAATCTGAAGCTCTTCTTTCAGTTTGCTGCCTCAACAGTACATTTTCTTTATAGTCTTTCAGTGACTCAGGACTCTGAAATACATATTCTGGGTCAGCTGGACTTGATATATCACCATTTTTGGAATCTAAATCAAAACCATTCCACCAGCTCCCATATCTAATGCGAGAACAAGAATGGTTCACATGATCAATTTCATTAATTTTCGTAATTATATCTTGTGGATAGAGTGAAGGTGGTCCATGGTCTAAAGGAGATGTTTCCACAAGACTATTCACAGGTGTTGGTGGAGTTCTTTTGTCAATACTTTTCAGCACTTCAGGACAAGAAGGGGAACTGTCTTTCAAAGCAATAAAACATGATTCTGTTTCCTCAAAATTTGTAGGATTTTCTTGCAAGAGGTTACATTTATCAAATGTTACTTTTCCATCCCCTTCATTTCTTGTAATTGGTAAATCAGTTGAATAGCCTGCAATGTCACATTCTGATTGAGTTGTCTCATTAGCTACTTTTGAGTCAGCTGGTTGCTGACCTTCTGATGAGCCACTGCCATGGGAGAAGTCATCAGCTGGGGAAAAGTCCACAGAATGAGAAGATTCTGTCTGAACTGTAGCTATTGATGCCAAATCAAAGTTGAAAAGATCAAAATTGTCACTGCTATTTCTAGTCTGTGGCTTTTCTTCAGGTATGACTCCTTCAGGAATGGGGCTGTATGAATCAAAGCCAGAAAAGAAACTGTGATGAGATGCAGCTCCTTCCGCTACTGGACTATCATCGCTAAGAAAAACAGAACTTTCCTTGGAGGATCTGCTGCTTCTTATAGTAGCAAGTCCACTATCTGGACTCACGAGATCTATATTTACATCAGCATTGACTTGAGCAGATCCATTATGATCTTGAGGATTCTCTATAAAGTTAACATTTGCCTGTGGTTCAATGTCTGAACCGTACAGCTCCATGATACCAGAAGATCCTTGGGAAAGTGGAGCGCTTCCAGCAACAGCTTCAGTGGAAGATGTTCTACTGTTTGGTGCCATTTCTGGGTGTCTCCTTGTGATAAAATCCTTCATCAGCAGAAAAATGTCATCACAATTTGTTGTAGAATTTTCTTGCTGATATATGAGGAGTTGATCACATCCATACTCTAGAGGATCAAGTTCCAGGCAAGGATTCTGACACTCTTCTAATTCACAACAGATCTGTTGAGAAAGGACAGTGGGATGTGCATGTGTATATGTAGACTCTTTTTAAAAAGAATCAGTTATAGTTAACATATAATTAAAATATGTTTACTTTGAATAAATTCTGCCCCTCCCATTGTACATTTCTAACAATCAACAGCCTTCTAAATAATAAACAGTCAGAAACTCAGAACAAACTTTGCATAATAGATTTAAATTGGAAAAAAGAACCAAAAGCTTGTGGTGACATTGTAGTAATCTAATTATAATATGTACATTTTGAAGGTTAGATGGCTATAATTAAGTTTTAGAAGGAAACTAATGGGCTATATAACAGTATTAGATTTAAATAAACCAAATCCAAATCACAAAAATACTATTTTCAGTTTTTCTCATATATGACCATATTCCTATTGAGAAAGCCAGTTTCAGTCCACCTATGCAATCCTGGCATCTATTTCTATGGAAGTGCCCGGGACCACTACAGCTGATGCTGCTTGTCCATGTTCTTTTCTATTTCATTCTTTGAAAATCATTTTAAAGTGGCACCACTCACCCCAATTCTGTTTTAAAAATAAGGAAAGTACAAGGCAAAATGCTTCTGGATCATGTAGTGGTCAACTTAATTTCTGTAAATTGCTTTTGGACCCTGCTACACCCTTATTCTGGGGAAATAAACATTGCGGCAACAGATGTACTAATTTTCTTGGTGTTTTCCTTTTCAGCATTGATTGAACATCGCTGCACATCACCAGCTCAATTTATGAATACTTAATAAGCTTAATTTTGGAATAAGGGAAGGGGCACTTGTGCCCCACAGGCTTCAGACCAACCCCATCCTTTCTGATGGTAGTTGCAACTCACACCCTACCCAGTTATTTAGCTAGTTCTCTCTAACTAGAGAGAGGGGTGTGCATACGCCCCTCTGATTCATCATTTTCTCCATGTGTATATAGATGAAAGGTTCCAGCTTGTATGTAGGCTCTTTAAGCAAGCAAGAAACTGGAAAAGCAAGATTTTTCTATCCGTATGTGAAGAGAAACCTCTCCTATGCAGGCACATTGCTCTCTATATAAAGAAAGTGACAAAGGGAAGAGGAGGGAGCCAGGCACTTTCCTTTAAACATGTTGAGGAGAATGGTTAAACAATGATCAATAGGGCTCCAATGTAGACTACAAGGGTGTATTATTATTATTGAGCAGCCCGTAATAATCTCAAAATATGAAGGGATGCCCCATGGTTTGGACATAAGCTATCTATGATTTTAAGCTTTTAAGATTCACATTTTTTAACAATATCAAAGATACTTATTTATCTGATGCTACAACACAAAACAAATTACTTAACTGCTTCCTTCACAACAAATACCTGATTTCCAAGTTCCATGTTTTCTGAATAAATTGCTATTTGCCTTTTTTTCCCTTCCTCTTCTGATAAGTAGCTGGCCAAAATGACAAGGACATCAAAACCATATTTGTGCACAAATGCTTTTAAGTCTCCAGTCATGTTTTTGCAAAATAGGTAGTCCTGAAATAAGACAAAGTTGTTGACAGAATATCTAATCACATTAATAACAATTCAGCAGCATTTTGTTTATCTTCTTACAAAACTACATTTTTACTGCAGTGCCATAGTCCATGTCGTTAGGGCATAATTAGAAGTGCATATTAATATATAACACATATGGTCTAAAATTCTGTTGCTTAGCATAAGCCAAATCATAATTTTTGGTCTGTTCCTCTCTGGTAAACCATGCATCCCTGCCGCGATTCTTGGGTTTGCATGCATATGCTGACTTGGAATGGACCAAAAGTTAGAATTTGGCTTACGCTAAGAAAAAGGATTTCAGACATACTTGCACAAGAGATACTGCAACTCAATTTTCTCATAAGGATGACCCCCATAAGTGTGTTAATACTGTGTTTGGGATTGCTGCAGCATATAATAGTGAAATTATAAATGTGATTTCTGGTTTGAAAAATGCAGCTGGATTATTAAAATTATCTGGTGGATCTATGTTGCGCTATTATTTATCTGCTTTTCAAAAATGTAGTCCCCCTCAGAAACTATTACCACATTTTGCCAATAAGGAACACAAGACATAGCTTCTTGACAGAAAACAAAAACAGTGTGTCAGAGGGAATTTTAAATGGAATGCAGCAGTTTGAAAATTCCGTAATGTTTAACGACATATGTTTAAAATATTAAAAAAAGTTTCACGAATGATAAGGGTTAATTACCCTGGATCTCCAGATATTGTTGGACTACAACTCCCAGAAATCCTGCCCCACACAGCTAGTGGTGAAGTCTTTTGGGAGTTTTAGTCCAAGGACATCTGGGGACCTAAGGTTAAGAACCACTGCTTTAGAGTACTGTGATAACTGGCACTGCTCACCAGCAACCAGATTTTGGCAGAGCAAGAAATGGTTCATCAAAAGGGCTCAACTCCTATCATTAGGATCCCTAATGGAAATCTCTTCTCTGTTATTCTCTGTTAACCTAAAGGCTGTTTCTTCAAGCAGGTGGTTCAAGTCCAGCATGCTCTCATTCTATTTCGCCAATTCTCTCATGTAGTTGGTCATTATTTCCTGCCAGCTCTATCTTCTCAATTGAACCCAAGAAAGTTTTTCTGTTCCTCAGGAGCATGAATTAGAGTGCTGCAGCTCACTGCATTCTATCATGTTTCTCAACCTGATTTGTTTTCACATGGGTCAATTATGTGTGTGTTTGTCATGGAACCATCAAGAAGTCATGAATAGTGGAGCAACTGACAGTTATCTACCAAAAATTGGCAGGTTGAGAAATCTTGCACATTCCATGATAGTACAAGCACCTAAAAAGTGATGTGGTTTATTATTTTGGACTAACATTGCAACCAGAAATACTATCTATGCTGTCTGTCTTTGTCAAGTACATGTTGAACAACATATGAATAAAAGCTATGAACAGATATGGGTGTTTTTCAGCATGTGTTTATTTGAACATGATCTTGCCTCACTGTTAAACGAACTGGAAGGAAGCGACATTGTGTGTTTGCTGGGCAGATATAGTGATGATGGGATTCCATCACCACTCTACCCATCAATTTGGAAAGGAAGGATTCTTTATAAGCTTTTTCAAAGAACAGATAGCTTTCTCTAAGAGTGCTCCAATTGCAGTTGGCCTCTTTTCTACATATTCTCCCATTCTATCTACGCATACTCTGTGGGACATTTCTAGTCTTAACTTTTAGACACAGTGAGAAAGAAAATGCAAAACCAGTTGCATATAAGTCTCTTAACTGAAGACCAAGGGGTCTAAGAACAATTCTCCACTCCCATGCCCTTCCATACATATGCATGATAGTGCACAAACACTATATTACAGTACTACTATCACAGCTGCCAGTGCTGCTTCATATGTAACCTATGCCAAAATCTATTTCACTCTGGGTTCTGAATAAGAACCAATTTTCAACTGAGGAGAGTTGTTTCCAAATCCTCCCAGTGTCAACATTCCCCAGTATAAAGCTTGTGAAATGTCACTATGCCAAACCTGCATACTCAATAGAATATATATTATGTAACTGCCCCCATGCATGCACTTCACATATTACCACAACTGCAGAATAACAATGAACAGAGAGAAAGATAAATTGTAGATTACATTATAAATATAAATCACATCTCTTTTTTACTTTTTTTGCATTGTAAGTAATCTATTTAGCCTCTCAATGCATTTGGCATCTTTATTTTCACTTTCCGTAACAGCTCAACAACAACAACAAATGTTTTCACCTGATCCTTCCTCATCTGTATTGTGCTATTTGTATTTGTTAAAATTTATTGTTGCCTTCTGGCTAAACACATTATCATATGATACTATTGACTTTTATAGTGCTCTTAAGCAACAGTCTCTCTAAATCAACAGCAGTTATCAACAGTACTGTACATCACATCTGTATAACTTGTATAGTCAGACAGGTACTTCATTCAGTTCTTCCATTTTCAGCTATACACTTCTTCTATCTAATAAAATACTTTTTAGCTTTCATGGGTATAATAGCCTCATGGCGCAGTGGTTAAACTGCTGTACTGCAACTAAAACTGTGCTCACGACCTAGGGTTCAATCCCAGGTAGCCGGCTCAAGGTTGACTCAGCCTTCTATCCTTCCGAGGTCGTTAAAATGAGTACCCAGCTCGCTGGGGGGGCAATGTGTAGCCTGCATAATTAACTTGTAAACCACCCAGAGAGTGGTTGAAGCACTATGGGGTGGTATATAAGCAGCACACTTTGCTTTTTTTTATGCAAAGGGGAAGGGAATCCTTGAATTAAAGGAAAAGGTCTAGTTTTCCATTGGTCCAGGTGGGGGGAACACTTTGTTTCAATTTTGTTTGTGTGTAATTATTGTATTTTATTTGTTTGTTTGTTGTTCTTTTGTTTCTTTACAATATGTTTTCATTTAATAATTTTTTTTAAATAAGGGAAAATTCTTTCTTTTTTAAAAAAGAGACTGTGTGAATTTTTCGGATAGCAATTTTTATTCATTCACCTAACTTAAAAGTGTAACTATCTTTTAAAAAAGCTGACAGGCTCTTCTGCTTTTGCCCTTGGGCTTCCCTTACAGCCTCTTCCTTTGCAGCCCCCTGAGCAGGATGAAGTGTGCCTCCTGCTGTAGTAGCTCTAGAGAAAAAAGGCAGGAAAGCCCACAAACTGCAGGTAGTTCCCCAATATTTTGGACTAATTGTCAAATTTTGAAGGAGAATGCTATGATAGCTCAGTGGTTTAGGTCTCTGGCTGCAGAGCCAGAGATTGGGAGTTTAGTTCTCCATTGTGCCTCCTTGACAGGGGCTGGACTCAGTGATGCATAGGGTCCCTTCCAGCTCTGCAGTTCTAAGGTGATGATGATAATGAGCTGGATGGGTCAGAATGAAAGAATAGGAGAAAGAATAACATTCCTACCTTTTGTCCTGGCAGAGGTACACCTTGGACCCCTCTGATTCTTGCTACAGAGAGATGAAGGACTGCCTGTACGTTCCCTGGGCTGCACTTCAGGGATGCCAGGGTGTGTTAATCGGCAGTTTTGTATCGGCCAAAATTCTGAAGAGCTTGATGATGAATAAAGAAAGCCACTGGTGCTGTAGTAGATTTATTGTACAGGTGGCTGACCCGGTTAAAGCATGACTACAGTATAACAAACTACACACCCTCACATGCTAGGGAGGCAGCCCCCGAATTCAGGTGGGCAAGGTCCTTAGTGAGGCCTGGTGCTGCATCTATTACTGGTCCTCCCCCCCCCTCCATGGCAAAGGAGATACTTCCGTCTGGGCAAGCCAAATAATCTTAATATTCTGTCCTTCCTGGACTGAAGGTGACAGGGACAAATGAAAAATAATGCCCACCATTGCTGAAACTGGTACATGCTGAGTGGCACAAATCTTCTCCAACCAGATCAGCATATTTTCACATTAATACGATAAGCTAGATAGGATAGAAACACAACGTTTTGGTTTGATTCAGCAGATCTATTCCTATGCTCTCATCACTTACTTCATCTTCTGATCTTTTAAAGACTGTTTATCCTTTCTGTTTACAATGAAAGCAAACCTAAATCTATTTAAAACATATGTATTAACAAATCAAATTCCCTATTTTGTTTGATTAGAAACAATCTAATATCACTTTTCATGAAACCAAGCTGAAGATTTAATTAATTAAGAGAGAGGAAACAAGTACAGCCTTCCATATCTGATCCTTTATAGTTCTAACAATTTTTATTTTTTAACAAATTTACTTTACTTAGAGAAGTCACCACCAACTGCATTACATCTTGAACTAAGCTTCTTAAAATTTATTAAATATCTGCATCATTAATAAATTTATTGCCCCCCCCCTTACTCTGGGCTTTCTGATGGATTCTTCCCATTTTAACCCAACATTTAATTTAGCTTTTTTTTCAACCTCTAATAAAACAAATGATAATGCAATATTTTGAAGTATCTTCTCTTTCCTTCCTACCTAAACATTTGGAAAAATAATTAGCCTCATGGCATAGTGGTTAAATTGCAGCATTGCAGCCAAAACTCTACTCATGATTCAGGTTCAGTCCCAGAAAGCTGGCTTAAGGTTCACTCAGACTTCCATCTTTCTGAAATAGATAAACTGTGTACCAACATGCTTGGAGGGCAACATGTAACCTGCATAATTAAACTGTAAACTGCCCAGAGAGTGTTTTAAGTGCTATGGGGTGGTATATAAGTAGCATGCCTTTTTTCTATTTCTTTTTTCTTTTTCTTTCTTTCTTTCTTTTCTTCCCTTTAGCTTGTGTCTACCTTATTCTTCCTTAACCAGGTATAGAAAAAAGTGGTGTTACTGGAACTATGCTGGATTTTAACTCCCATTTTCTCTAAAATCCATTAGTTCTGATCCAGAGTTGATACTTTTTTTTTCAAAGGAAATCAATTCCTTTACAATGTGTTCAGGATCAAGCTGACAATGTGAACTTTCCCTTTTACATTTGAGGAAGAAAAACTGAATAATTCTCTGGA